TCAGATCTTGTAGGGTGGACCAGCGAGTGCCGTTAACGACCCAGGAACTGACGTATCAAGTTGATGGAAGACTGACGGGATGGAGCTAGTTTCACGTTTTTTTTTCCTTCTCTTCTTCTGCCTTCCCGTCTGTGCTCCCCCTCGGTTCCCTTCTACAGTCTCCAGAAAAAGGTCAGCCACTGGCAGTTGGCGGGCAAGGATAGGGCGGGTAACTGACTCGCCGTGGAAGGAGATTTGGTAGCTTAATAAGGCGCTACTATGGCTGAATAATAACGGAGCCAAGTTAATGAGCCAAGTCGTCGCATGGGGGGTGGGCGATGCTCCTAGCCAGCACATGACACCAGCCCAGCCAGCGGGATGGGGCTTGGACAAGCGCGCGGGTGGTGACAGCGTGAATGGGGACTACAACGCTCTCGGGAAGCGAAGGTCCCAGAGGTCTGGATTGCAATTGTTGGCCCGGTCCTGGGAGGATCCCACGTCACGGACAGACTCCTGTCCCCGATTGAGGGACATTTGGGGGCTTGCGCACTTACAGAACTTCGGTCGACTTCCGACCTTCAGGCATCGTGAGAATTAGGAAGTTGGAAAAACTTGGGAACTTGATGGTTCCTAGCTTACTTCATTTCCATCCGATGTCAAATCGCCCACGTGTCTTTGGAAACTCCTGAGTGTTAGTCTCGGGTTCCTGGTGCACTGAGCTCTACGGAGTACGGGCATGACTTTTCCCTCTGATCTCCCTTAATTGTTTGTTTGTTGTTTACGGTTGAGAGCGCATTATGCTTGAATCGTCCGGTGTCTGGAAAACATTTGTTCGCTTTCTTCTTCAGAGACAGGGATAAGCCTCCCGCCAAAGACAAAAAGGGAGGTCGCATCTCCCGTCACATTCCAATGTTACCTACCACATTTGCACATGACGTATCCTGGAAGCGAGATTTTGTTCAATAGCTCCCTCCGGTTCATTCTCTTTTTCTTTTCTTGAACTGGGTCTGGCCCGAAGTTGAGGAGGAGTTGAGAAGAAAAATTTGACCCTCAACTTGCTCGACTGGATTCCACTAGAAAATAGTTCCCGCAGTTTCCATCGCGAAAATTTCCGATCTCTCGACCAGGGTCCTATTTAGGCGTTGACGATGTCGAGTAGCAGCATCCGTCCCTCGGACTTATGACCGGCCGTACTGACGAAATGTCGGATCCGTGTGGGAGCCCCTCGACCTTGCGGAAACAGTTTGCTGCCGGTGGTGGCAACCGAACACGACGCAGGCCGTGGCGGAGCCGTAACTTGTAAGGCGTTGAGAAAAAGTCAGTCTCTCATCACGACTGTAGTGTATTCGTACGCCATGTAGAAAAAAAGTCGCCGCGCTTCGCCAAGGACTCTTGGACTCCGTGAGAGCCGTCAATTGCAACAGTGAGGCAGCCGATGACAGTGCATTCTCGGTCTTGGTAACCGATAACGAGCACAGACAATGGCCCATAGCCCCATGTTACTCCCCCGTCTGTCGATAACTGAGCTATGGTCCGTGGGGGTGAATGCTCGAGGAGAGACGTCTTGCGATGCTTTTCATCTCAATGGAAACCTGAAAGAGATGGAGTCTGGCCCTATTCGTGACTGGACTGACATGTGGGCACTGGATGCTGGTTCGTCTGAAAAGTTTTGTGGATACGCGCAGTAAGAACCTAACGTGCGAGGATCACTCTGTTCTCTTCTGCTACAGTCTACAGACCGACTTTCTCCATGCTAGGTTAAGGTTTGTTCTTCACTACCCGTTTTCCAGACTGCAGCGACATGTCAAACAGGCACTTGACCTCAGCTTTGCATACGGTCGTTGAACTCTTACTTCTGTCGATTTGAAATAAATTGCATCCGATGGTCAAATTTTTACACAGATTTTCGGGATTTTCACGATATATTGCTCAAATCCATGTTGCATGCGTCATGCGCCGCAACCTCACTGGGCCTCTCAAGCAGGTTTCTGGAAGGTGGGAGTGCGTCGGAACTAACAGATTCTCCTGATCAAGGCGATCGGAATCCTCGCGAATGCAGGAACCACCACGGGAGCTTCACTCGATCACCCGGACTCTGTCTCCCGCTCGGGACCTTGTTAAGTGCCCGCATCAAATACCGGCACTGCGTGGGGAGCCTGGACTGCACTCCATGCTTGAAGCAACTGGATTGCTGGAGTTCAAAGTCCGACTTCGGCGCACGACCTGAATCCATTCTCAAGTCCGAACTCACGACTTTGATAACGTTTTGCGAGCCGAGAGATCTCGGACAACAACCGATCGTCCGAAAAGCCTCCTCCCGCTCATCGCGGTGTTGACTACATCTGTGGATGAACACATTCTTGTCGGACATGAGCCGGGTCTAATAGTGGACCAAAGGCCTCTTCGGCTGCGATAGTAGGGTCTATCCGTCGCAAAAGACCCAGATTCCCACTAACTCGCCGACTCCTCACCGACCGGGACGCACCCGCTCCCTCCGCTGAACGAATGCGGCAACCCGCTTGTTGATAACGGATTGCTCTTGCTGAAGAAGGTAGGTGAATATCGCCAGCACGGATTGTGCAATGGTCCAGAATTCAATGCCTGCTCTGCGCCTTGCCTGCCCTGCGCGCCTTCATCAAATGGCCAAACCGCGCGTGTGGGCAAGGTGGGATTTTCGTGTCCACACCAATGAAACCTGCAAGGGATGCCAGATATTGATCTGCAATCTGGCCCAGGAACCCGACCACTCAAAAGTCTGGATGACTCCAGTTTTTAACATGCTCGGTCAGGTCAGCTCCGGGGTAGGATTTCTTTTTAGAGCCCCCCAAGGAACGCTGCACCAGCACCTTCCAGAAGGTTAATTCGGCCCTGTGATTTAACTGTAACTAAATCCTTATTCTCGGTTGTAGCGATGGAACTCTGCAATCGTCCTTGCGCAGGTTTCACCCAGCCCCGGCGACTTTCACTGCTTGGCGAAATGAATAGCTGAGAATAGGGCGGGCAGCGTCGCAGATTGAAATAAGTTTTTGGCAACTTTTGCCTATTCTTAGCTAATAAGTTCGGTCGCAGACTGGGCCAAAGCAACCCCACGTCACCGATATAAAAAGGAGTACAGAGTACAGTATGTTCATGTTGCCTATTTCGAGAAATTCAATGACACGAACTCATCATTGTGAATGGAATCAATATCTCAAGAGCTTATAGCAGGGTGAACTACGTGCATTATCGAGTCAAATCCTCACGATGAGACCCGACTCGTACCTGTTGGGTAGAACTCTGCATCATGCATAATTATGTCACCATTCAGCGAGTTATACCTAAGGCGTGATGTTAGAAACATTTTCACCTGGCCGCAAAGGCCGAGGTTCCTTGAGGACAATACCATATGTTGAGCCTATGTCTGTTGCGCATAGAACAATTCAGCTGAAGGTGCGGAAAAAGTTCTTCTGTGATTCCGCCATCACTTGTCTCATAATGCCGGGACTAATAGTAACGTGACCAAACCTCGCAAGTCACCACTATGGGACTGCAAAGCATGTCACGTAAGTCTGATTGATTTCAAGTCGAGTATCGAAGTACTAGAAACGTGGCGCGAGTCTCGGTGCTTGGCGTTGCTGCATAGATGTATATCATTGATGCGAGTATGCTCGATCCCATAGGTATGATGAGAATTTTCCATGTCCTCACGGCGTGTTTTTGAACACCACAAGAGACTCTGGCCAAGTTGACTAGAGCAATTTCACACCCCCTTGCTCATTAGCAAAGAAAGTCATGATCCAACTTCTCTCCTGTCCGGAGTTGCAGGGCCTCATGATTTTCTCGAGAAAGTGCCGATAACTCGTTCGTTGGCCACCTCATCGACTGAATTAATTTTTGACGAAAAGCACTAGTCAATGCAGATTCATCCTGTATACCCGCTCATGCACGGGTTAAGTTTCGACGAAGATGTAATGACACCTAACAGCTTGCATATGGACTGAACTTATCGTGCATGAACACAAGAGCCGGCTTGATCCTTCTGAATTTGTCTGTGAGCCTCCTTAATTTGAGGAATCATTGAAGATCTGAATGGTTCGCGGGAAACGACTGAGCAATGTCTTTCGCAGAAGGAACTCAAACCTCTGAAGCCCGCAATCGCATGCGATCAAAACCTTGACATTCTGCCTGCAAAAAGTGGGTGCAAATTCGCTAACAAACCTAAGGAATCAAGATCCATGATTTCTTTTACATTTGACACTATCTCAAAGGCTTAGTTGCTTTTCACATGTGTATCCGGGTCCGGAAGTCAAGGGGTCGATGGAGACGGGCTTGTCCCAGGCCAACGTAGAGCAAATCGATCGCCTTAAAACCACCTGAAACTAGATACTTTCTCTCAAAAAGCGAAAACAACTAGAGACTTTGTTTTTAACAAACTCAATGCTTGTAAAACGTCAACAAACCCGTCGTCGGTATGTGTGGTCTATCCGTAGCACTTCCCCGTCTGATCATTATGGTTCGTGCAATGTCAAATGAGAATGGAGCACATATATTTCGAGGCCTCTGATGTTGCACAGTGATCAAACTTCTCGGTTTAGATAACTCATTAGCTAGATATCGTCATATTTTCATTCAGTTCTGTGGCTCTTGATACATTGCAGTCAATGCATAGCTTTGATTTCGGTTGTGCAAAACTCAAAGACGCGTATTGTGCAAACTGAAAGTTGGGTTGAACATTGGCGTTAAGGCTGACGATTGGATATCTCAATGTAGCATGCACAGAGATGCACAAATCAGCCCCCTGTCCTTCTCGGCTACGGCTTTCCAGTTGCGGGGCAACAGCGACAGGATACCTTGTTCAGTAGATAATATCTTGACCCCTTTTGTGACTTTCCGCTGACTACCGCGACAATCAACGGGAAACCTCTTGGGAGCCTTAAGCCGTGGAATTGCCAGCTTACTGTCGAACTTGCATATTCCTGAGCATCTTTGCGGGCATCGCTATCGACTATACACTGTGCAAAATTGTCGTATGACAGCCGGCAATGTCTCTTTTGCATCTCCCTGTCGAGGTTCTGCAGACCATCATCTTGGAAACGATTCCCCAGTCAATCGATAATGTTGCCCTCACTTGCAAGAAGTTGTACGAAGCAAGCGAGAGGTATTTGGTACAGCACAATATTCTCAAACGCCGATTTCGTCACTTTGCCTTCGACGTGGTTGGGTAAGTAGGTTCTTCATGATGCGAGGAGGACGACGTACGATTCAATTTGTTCGCGATAACATATTAAGGGGAACAATATAGCTGACGAGGGTGTGTATGACTTATTATTATAGTCCTGACGATGACGAGAAAATTTACGGGACGGAGACCTTTGTTGTCAATAGTCTCGATCTCCTCATGAAAATTACTCACAACCCAATAATTGCTCAATACATCCAAATCGCAGATCTCAAGATTGCTTTCGGCAACGTGCAGTACCATTCAGGAGATATTTCGCACCTGCCGCCGCTCACGCGAGATGAAGATATCAAAGCACTCCGAGAATTTCTGCATGGGTCTCCTTATCTTAAGGAGATTGGCCAAGACCCCGATTTCTGGGAGAGTATGATACGGCATGAAGCTCTAGGACATGCTAAGTTCTTCTCCTCAGCTTGTTGACCCACGTGCGAGAGCTTGCTCTGCCGACTAATTGGCGTCAGCTTGGGGTACGAGGAGAAGATCCAAGCGGAGCTGGAAACGATCTTCGTACTTGGCAGGTGCTTGATCACATTGTGTCTCGTGCTAATGAACGAGACGCAAAAGATGCTGCACTGTCGAAGCTCAAAATCCTTCGACCATTTGCTAGCTCCGGTTGGAGATCTAGGCATGCATTGACCTTGAAAACACCGTTCTTGGCCATCAAGTCTCTTCGGGAAGCCTACATCGGAGGCTGTATTGCTACTGATGATGGCGAGACGGGCATACCCTTCTCACCAGAGTACTCGGACTACAGCCCACGTCTAGAAAAGCTGGAGTTAGTGGGCTGCACAATCGGGCGAGGAGAATTGCGTGCTTTGCTCTCCCGCATCCCCAACCTGAAGTCCTTACGCTACGCACATGAGACGAAATGGGACAGTTGTGGTTCGTACTTCGACCCGGGACAGGCCCTTTGCACCATCATGGAGTGCACTGGCGAGACACTGAAAGAGCTTTCGATGCACACTATGACGCGAATGGGAGCAATAGAGAGTACCCTTACCAACATGAAGGGCTTCAAGCGCCTGAAATACCTGGAGATTGATGTCGTCATGCTCATGGGGACAGAGTTCCGCAGAGATATCATTAAAGAGGAGTTCCCCTATCAACCGCTCTGCGTGCCGCTTGACGAGATAGCCGCACCAAGGTTGGTGGACATGCTTCCTCCATCGATCAAATTTGTTCGGATACTGGCGACGCCTCGGAACTGTAGGGAATCAGACCCTGGGGTGACAAAATGCCTCAGAGTTTTGTTTGATAGTCTTCGTACAGAAAGACATAGTGAAGGAAAGCTACCAAGGCTGAAGAAGGTCGTTTTCTCAGCCCTGGGGAACACTATTGACAACAATTTCCTGGACAAGTACAATGCCGGATGGGTCACGATCTCTTTGCAAGAGGGAACGGAACTCCAGCCAGACTTTGTCCCAGATTTCCACGAGCGGTTTGGGGTCCCTGCTGAAGAATATGTCGAATCCGATGAAGAAGGTATCCTACTCCCTGTCGGCAACGTCGAGCTCGAGGACAGTGAATCAGATGAGGAAGACAGTGAATCGGAGGAAGAAGATAGCGACTCTGACGAAGAAGACAGCGACTCCGACGAAGAAGACAGCGAATCAGAGGATGATCAATACTTTTAGTAGGCAGAAGTTGAATAAAGCCAACAGTCCAGGACGAGCACGCTTTGGAATGCCTACGGCGTGGAAACACCATCACGAAACCCCAGGGGGAATAGACGAGCAATCTTGAGCGACGACTTACCAATAGCAGTGACGGAATTGATCCTCGATCATCCGAGTACTCGCATCCGTATGTTATACGACTTCAGCCAATGGAATCAGTAAAGCGTAGTGCTCTAATCGGGGCAATGTACGCCGAGAATGCAAGCTGTGAACGATTGCTTGGTCGTTCATTTCCCCACACTTACAATAACTGTGGATGGAAGCGAGCTGCACCCCAGAACAAGCAAGAGGGGCACTGCATTAGTCTCTTGACCAGGTGAACGGGCATGTTGGAATTGGGGCGTCTGCAGATACGCGTATTCGTTCAGGCATAGCTTGATACAGGGGAACATCAATGAATGCATCGCAGATTCTTGCTTTGTTCCAGCTTCTGTCAACGCACGAAGCCACAGTACAAGTGCCGATTTTCGTGCAAGCGCAGAGGGGTTTACCCCACATCACCATCTTGTGAGCAACTTCAAGTACATGTACCAGACGCAAGAGTAGTCCATGAACTCGGCTGTGTGCTCTTAGGTCGTCAGTGGTAAGCTACCGTCGGGGACTGCTTGATGTTACCCAGGCCATACAAAGCGGCCCGATGTCGTCGTTATTTACACCGAGGAAACAGCCCAATATTCCTCGGTCCAATATCTTACCAATGCAGATTTCGTGCCCAGCTCTGTCTCTGTCAAGCGCATTCATTGAGCTTTGCTCTGGTATTGTTCTACTTAAATTGCGATGAATAACTTTCTATAAGTAGTCTGTTGATTTGGAGGCAATGCAAAACAACAAGAGGTCAATCTTTACGGAAACCTTTTGAAAATGACCACACTACGCCATATAGTATGCTTGCTTGGCTTACTCCTCGCTAGTTGCCAACCCATCCGAGGTTCGAACTGCACACGATCCCCAGATGACTTCCTCCGCCCATCATCCCGAGAGCGCCCAAAGTTCAGATACTGGCTCCCAGACGCCAGTGTAGACGCCGGAACTGTGGAAGCAGACATAAAGGCGGCTGGTGATATTGGAGCTGGGGGTGTGGAATTCTTGCCGTTCTACAATTATGGAGGAGAACTTGGACCTGCTCCAATTGGGGTAAATTGGTCTACCTACGGCTTTGGTACACCTGCTCACCTCAATCTCTTCACATCGGCTTTGAAAGCCCATAAGCATGCGGGGCTGGTCATGGACTTTTCGCTTGGGCCGAATCAAGGACAAGGCATTCCGGCTCATCCTGACGATGAGGGATTGCAGTGGGACTTGGTATGTACATGCAAAGCTTCCACAACTCTCGGCCATGGAACCAACTGAGTCCATTTTACTGAACTCTCTACCCAGGTCTCCTTCAGCCAAGCTACTTCCAATCGCGGCTTTCTCAACGAGACAATTCCCGGCTGGGGTGACGGACAGCTGGTCGCTGCCGTGTCCGCTATCGTGGTATCTCGAGCGAACATTTCTTACAACATCACTGGGGTCACCGGCGTGACGACTGTGTCTTATGAGGATCTTGTTTTGCGAGACAGATCTCTCACAGACATTACCTCAAGTGTCTCGGGAGATGGGATACTGTCCTGGAAGCCCGCTAGTTCTCCAAATAATGTATCTGACCACGAGCTGTTCTTTTTCTACGAAAAGTTGTCTCATAATCAGAACCTGCACTTCCTTTCGAATACAACGAAAACCATTTGGGACAATGGCTCGTATGTCGTGGACCACTTTAGCGCCCAAGGAGCTCGGACAGTGCAGGCCTTCTGGGAGCAATATCTGCTTACCGACGAGCTGAAAGGACTTTTGAGAGAGGTTGGAAATCATGGTATGATGTCTTCCCACCACAATGGCAGTCTTGCCAGCTGACTTTGGCGTTACTTTAGGATGGGAGGATAGCATCGAAATTCACTCAAATATTTCATGGACCCGCTCGCTTCCAACGAGGTTCGAAGAAATGTTCGCACACAACTTGAAGCAATACCTGCCTCTCGTGATGTTCGGCAACAATAACATCAATCTCCAGAGTACTTCCCCAGGAACTACGCGCTGTACTTTGGACCGACCGGATCAGGGACAGGGTTATGTCAACGACTATCGTGAGACTCTGGCAGCGGGGTATCAAGAGTACCTCGCCACACTTTCACAGTGGCTCCATAGTCTGGGAGTCAAAGGACTTTCATCCCAGCCATCTTACAACCTACCCATGGACATGGAAGCTTCGATCCCATTTGTCGACGCTCCGGAGTGTGAAAGTCTTCAGGGGCATGACAACGTCGACGGGTATCGGCAATTCTCAGGTCCAGCAAATCTCGCGCGGAAAAAGATCATCTCCATCGAACTTGGCGCGGTTTTCGGAAGAGCGTATAGCTACACTATTCCAGAGCTGCTCTTTGCGGCGAATCGCGCAGTTGCTGGTGGTGTGAACCAATTCGTCATTCACGGGCAGTCGTACAGCGGCAACTATCCTCAAACAACATGGCCAGGGTACACAGCATTCATCTACTACGTCTCAGACCTCTATTCACCCAAAAGACCAGACTGGAATTACGGCCTTCAGGCAGCCTTGGAGTACATGTCGAGGTTGCAGCATATCCAGCAACAGGGTGTTCCGAGAACCGATATTGCATTCTATAACAAACAGTCTGCTACTGATCCAAACTTCGGAACGGTGTACGAGCCAACAGATTTGATTGACGAAGGTTCGTGATATCATAGGTTGACTTGAGTCATAGGTGGGCCACTGACGAATGCTTAGGTTGGTCATACACTTACCTTTCACCGGACAACTTTGATCTACCCCAAGCATACGTCGAAGGCGGTGTTTTTGCACCTCAAGATGCAGCATATCAAGCCATTGTCATACTCGGATCCCAGAACTTGACGCGGCTCTCACTTTCGAAGCTGGAGAGTTTCATGGAAGCTGGGTTGCATATCATCGTGGCTGGTTCAGTCCCGGGGGTGTACCCTTCAGAGACGCAGGTCAATCCTGGCCATACTTCTCCTGGCAATGACTTGATTCAGCTTCTTAACAATCCAAACGTACATCAAGTTGCAGAGGGCGAGATATCCCAGAAGCTTCACGACTTGAATCTCAAGCCACGAGTTGGGGTAAGAACAAACGGCACGTGGTATTCCACATGGAGAGAAGACAAAGAAAGTGGCATCGCCTACGCCTACATACTTGGTGACTTAGTTCCAACGACTGGGGAGGTGGTAATCCAATCCAAAGGCATTCCCTACTTCTTCGATCTCTGGACTGGGGCGCGTCAACCGGTTCTGAACTACCGGACCAGCGGATCTACAACCACTATCCCACTAGAACTCGGAGGAAACCAAACAAAGGTCATCGCGTTCGCTGGCGAAGCAATCCGTGGTACTACGACACCAGCCATTCATGCTACCGAATTTTCATCAAACATTGTCGGCTACGAAGCAGTGGATGACGGCTTTAAAGTGCGTGTCGCTGCGTCTTCAGATCCGGCACTCGTCAGATTGTCGACCGGCACCGAAAGCACTCATATCAGCCAAGCCCCTGAACCCTTTGAGTTGGGGTCGTGGACTCTGCTTCTTGAGCACTGGGAAGCTCCAGAAAACTTCAGCGATGCAACTGTCATAGCTGTCAAGCGCAACACGACCCACCAACTCGACAAGCTAGTCTCCTGGGTCGATCTTTCCTCTGCAACGAACACGTCTGGAGTTGGCTACTACTACACGAACTTCACCTGGCCGCCAGCATCGACTACTGACAGTGCTCACGACGCGTCTTTTGGTGCATACGCCAAGTTCCCGCCTGTGCTAGATGCGATCACGGTCTACGTCAATGGCGTCAGATTGCCTCCTCTGGACTTGACCAACCCTATTGCGGATGCCACCTCGTACCTGGTGGAAGGAAACAACCAGATTGTCGCCGTTGTCCCAGGTACAATGTGGAATTACCTTCGGAGTATCCTGCCTGAGATTAGGAGCTCTGGTCGAGAGTTTTCGGCATTCGCGGCTCTCCCCAAGACCGACAATGGATTGGTTGGTGTTGTAAAGGTTGTGCCCTTTGAGATTATCCATCTGAAAGCTTAGGAGGTAATCTTCGGGCAAGGGGATAGCGAGTATGCGGGAGGAACTCAGAAAGATTTCGATCAGGTGCTAGATGTCCCGAGAAGTATCAGGCTTCGGTCAGTCATTAGATATATGCAATGATATGACAACTGTATATGAGATTTCTTTCGATGTTGGGTGAACAAATCATGCAACATCATCATTTTTTTTGCCGTCACACAAGATATCTAGACCAAATGTGGTACTATCCCCGCTTAGTTCGTTCCTTCATTCACTCATGTGCTCGGCCTATGCACAGCCTGTTCCAGGTCATACGACGTTCCACCAAGAATATGGTTTGCGTATAGCCTAGCGTTAGAGCCAAGAGACCGCGCTGTCTAATCTATAAAGCTTCATGTTGAGATAAGCCTGCGTGAAGATGTGCAAGGTAAAAGAAGTCATCAAATTGATGATTGCTCCTAGAACACTGTGCTAGCAAGATCGAACTCCAACCAGCTGCTTAAGTAGGTATACCGAGACCCGCAACGAAGTCGACCAGAACAACAGCTCACTAGCATTCGGCCCAGAGAGCTAACGATCGGCACAGTGTTGGGCGTGAATATGTTACGAGGAAGTTGCCGTATCCCATTTCTATACGTGGAGTCTACCCCGCTTCGGCATCCCAGCCAATCAGACTGCCAGCAGTACGCGTGTTTGACTAAGACGTCAATTAACCCAGCCACGACGTTATAGCCGGTTGCTACCTGGCTCAAGTTCAACACGTATTGTGACGTAGAGGTTCTTAATGGAATGGACTTCCGGGAGATGGAAATCTTGGAAAAGTTTCGGCGCGACCCCATATTCTTCGGGTCAGAAGCGGGGCCGACTGGAACTGCCGGACCGATCATCTCAAGACGGTTATGTGGAGGTGAGAAAAAGACAAGGGATTAGCCAGGTCTGGTAGGTAAAGTACGCTATGATCTTCTCAGAAGTTCGCTTTCTCGAAATGATCCTGCGATTGACATAATCGTCCAGCAAACATTGAGTCTGTCGTTTTCTTATTTGCACGGGTGCATATGCAGGTCCTCGTAATCGCATTCTATGCTACGCTGATCCTGGGACTGGAACTCTGTACATGCAACTTCACCTCCAATTGTACAAATACGCGGATGACAAGGCGAGGTATGCGTCACCGGTACTTCACTCTTATTCTCTTCTGCTTATATGAACATCTCAAAGTAGCGTATAGCACACGACTCGACGGATCTGCGGGCAATGCCGCGTCTTGCTTGACGTGTGGCTCAGCAATCTAGGCCTCGCTACATCGGGGAAGCTTTCAGCCTGCTTCACCATATCCGCTCCTATTCGATTTGAGTATATCGCATCGGAAAGGATGCCATGCTCAGGGGCCACAATAATCTCGGCCCGTTGGATATCGATTTGAACACCATGGGGCATGGAGCAAAGACATTTTGTCAGTACCCCGCAATATCTAAAGCGAAAGCGAGGATACATGTTGAATGCTTTAGACGAGTCAATGTGGCTTGGTAATGTAGCCGGAAATTAAGGTACTACTATGAGAACCATATCTATTTTGTTGTCAGAAATTCGGGAGAAGCAGAAATATAAGACGTATTCTTGTTTCAACCAGATTTATCTCTTTCATCCGAAAACACCAAATTGTTTGCAATTGAGAATTCGAGATGAAGCTGTCCTCTTTTTTGGCTGTTGCTAGCCTGTTCTTTCTACCGCCTACCAATGCTGTCCTCAGCAAATCCCATGTTAGGTCCACCAATGTCACTCAAGATCTAGTCAGATGGGATGAACACTCACTCTTCATTCGAGGAGAGCGTATCGTCATCTTATCCGGTGAATTTCACCCCTGGCGTATTCCTTCGCCAGGCTTATGGTTAGACGTGCTACAGAAGATCAAGGCGCTAGGTTACAACGCAGTGTCATTCTACGTCAACTGGGCCTTGCTCGAGGGCAAACCAGGCGAGGTACGCATGGACAATGTGTTTGATCTTCAACCTTTTGTCGACGCTGCCGTCGAGGCTGGGCTATATCTGATCGCACGGCCTGGACCCTACATCAATTCTGAGCTCTCCGGGGGCGGGTTTCCCGGGTGGTTGCAGCGCAACAAGGGAGAACTGAGATCAATGGCTCCGGACTACACCAACGCAACTGAGAACTATATTTCAAGCGTCCTTCGTGTCATCTCGGCGGCTCAAATAACTAACGGTGGACCTATCATTCTGGTTCAGCCGGAAAACGAGTACAGCCTAGCGGTCGGAACTGCCAACCCGGTTGAGTCGACCAAGCTATTGGATCCAAACTACATGGTCTTCATGGAAGACCAATTTCGACGAAATGGTATTGAAGTTCCTTTGATTGGCAATGACGCCGTGCCTCTAGGAAACTGGGCACCTGGATCCGGGAAAGGAGAGTTGGACATCTACGCGCATGATGCTTACCCTTTCTACAGAGGATGTAAGTACTCCAATGACCGCGCCAGTAATGTCTGCTGATTGAGTATTAAGGCGATCATCCCACGGATTGGACTGATCTCACTCCGTTGAGTCTGACGTATACGTATCAAAATCATCTGCAGCAGAGCCCAAGCAGCCCCTATGCCGTATTGGAGTATCAGGGAGGCGCTCCCGATCCATGGTAGATTCATCGCACCTCACTGTGTTTCTCAAAGATATTTGTGCTGATTGATGGTAGGGGAGGTGTTGGCTTGGATAAGTGTGCAGCAAAGATCAACCAGGACTTTACCCGTGTTTTCGTGAAAGAGCTTGTGTCTCGCTCCATCAAGATACTCAACCTTTACATGGCATGTCCCCCCTCCCTTTCATGTATCAGCATATCATTAACCCGACGAACAGACGTATGGAGGAACGAACTGGGGTAACATGGGCCACTCAGAAGGCTATACGTCCTACGATCACGGCGCTTCTATCAGAGAGAACCGCGGGATCGATCGGGAGAAGTACAGCGAGGGCAAGATTGAAGCACATTTCCTGCGTGCCTCCGAGGCCTATCTCACAGCGATTCCCCAAAACGCCACGTCGACCGAGTTTGTTAGCACCCCAGACCTACGCGTCGTTCCCATCGTAGGGGACAAGACTCGTTTCTACGTGGTGCGCCACACCGATTACACCTCCCTCAACCGCACGTCCTACAAACTTAATGTGCCGACGTCTGCCGGCAACATCTCTATCCCTTTACTGGGCGGAGAGTTGTCTCTACATGGGCGAGACTCCAAAATCCACGTTACGGATCACGAGGTCGGTGGCACTAAGTTGATCTACTCGTCGGCGGAGATATTCACCTGGAAAACCTACGGAAGCAAGACATTGCTCATCTTGTATGGGGGTGATGACGAAGAGCACGAGTTTGCAGTGCCATCCTCCCTAGGAAAGCCGCATTTCGAAGGCAGCAACGCCACGACGCGCACTTACGGCAGCTTCAGAGCTATTCACTGGCTGGTCCAAGAAAGAAGACAGGTTGTGCATTTCGAAAACGTGGAGATTCACCTCTTGTGGCGCAACGATGCTTACCGACATTGGGTCCTCGACCTTCCCGATGCTAACGATGGACTGATCAAACCCACTCTAGGGAAATCGTCAATCATCGCCAAGGGGCCCTACCTTCTGCGGAATGCCACTTATGCGGACAACGTTCTTCATTTGACGGGAGATTTCAATGCTACTACAACTCTCGAAATCCTAGGCGGAATCCCTTCCAACAGCTCGCTTAGCTTCAATGGCCGCCCCCTCTCCAACGCCCAATGGAAGAATGGCAGACTCCAAGCTGAGCTCGTCTTCAAGAGTCCGGCCCTCAACCTTCCGGCATTCTCCGAACTGCAATGGCGTTCGATCGATTCACTCCCAGAGGTCTCCAACAACTACGAAGATTCCGCTTGGACCGAAGCAACGCTAGAGCAAAGCAACAACCCTCGCAATTTGACGACGCCTACATCACTTTACTGCAGTGACTACGGCTTCCACGGTGGCTCACTCATTTACCGAGGCCACTTCACCGCGACCGGCAACGAATCATTCTTCAACGTAACGACAGCAGGCGGGTTTGCTTACAGCCACTCGGTCTGGGTCAACGAGATCTTCCTCGGGTCCTTTGCCGGAGATTCTCACACCGCCAACTCAACGCAAGTCTTCGATCTGACCAGTTTGAAGCTCGTTGGCCCTTCAGTCTTCACTGTCGTTATTGACCATATGGGCATGAGCATGAACTTCTGGGCACGGTCCGACTGGATGAAGCTCCCACGCGGCATTGTTGACTTTTCACTTGGTGGTCATCAGCAGACCGACGTGAAATGGAAGCTCACCGGTAACTTTGGAGCCGAAAGCTACATAGACAAGACGCGTGGTCCGTTGAATGAGGGTGCATTCTATGCCGAAAGACAAGGCTATCATCTTCCAGGGGCACCCACGTCTGACTGGGCTCCAGTGGCACCATTCGAAGGCATCAAGACAGCCGGTGTAGCCTTTTATAAGACGGAGTTCCCCTTGGATATGCCAATCGGCTACGACATCCCTCTAAGCTTTGTCATCTCGAATGTGACGGCTTCAACTGGAGCGTCAAGCCTTTTCCGCGGGCAGCTTTTCGTCAACGGGTACCAATTTGGCAAGTATGGTGAGTTATAACCTTGAAGCTCCCACCTTTGATATCATTACCGTATATCTAATGGCCACGCAGTCAACTATCTCGGCCCGCAAACGCGCTTCCCTGTTCCAGAGGGCATCCTCAACTACAACGGCAACAACACGGTAGCACTTACTCTTTGGGCTTTGGACGGATCGGGTGCACGTCTTGAAGGATTCGAGTTGGCAGTGGACCACATCATACAGTCAGGCTACCGGAAACCTGGGCAAACATCTCAACCGTCGTGGTTGGAGAGAGTTGGGGCGTACTAAAGAGATCTCCTCTGGAGAGCCCAACTCTTCATTTCAGTGTAAATTATTTTCATCCTCTACTTTAGCTCCTGGTCGTGGCTTCTGGAGCGATGTTTCTTCGACCGGGCAGTGTTGAAGAGCCTACTTGTTAGTACCTCGGCTTCTTCGGAAATCGTCAAGATAGGCACAGAACTTTTGTCGCGAAATAAATCGTGCCCATCAACTGCTATGGAAATGATCGACGGGCTGAAAGCAGTTGCATATGGTGTTGAGGCGCAGCCGTTGTCAACCGCACACATTCAAGACACCAACCGGCTCCGGGGAACGGACGTAAAACAGGGCGACCGATTCTGCCTTGCGCGCCCTTTCAGGGCATGTCAATGAATCTACGCATGACCTAAGAACTCCTCTCTCGGGCGGTGTGCATACCATCGGCTTCCGGGACGCTAAACCATATTCTCTTACCGCAGCTTCGGCCCCGTGGCATTGAGTGCTGCGACTAGGTGAATCCGGGCTTAGCGGCGCGGAATATGCGCCGCTGTCTGGGCTCACAAGCGACTTGGCAGGCAGTTCCTGAGATGTTATGCGCGACCCTTGCATTTCAGCTCTTGAGAGATAAATGCTCGACCACCGTCCACGTCCCGTCATCGACGTCTGGCGAAGCCCGGAGAACCATTTCGTATCAACAAACAGAATTGCAATATGCCGCCCGTCTTTGAAGATCCTTGGCCCAAGGAGAGAGTCAAAAGTTCGCTTCAACTCGCCGCAGCAGTAAGTGACCGCAGGGTTTCGAGGGATGATCCATGTCTGATCTTGATGACTATGTAGAGCCACATCCAGCTCATTGAGATTTTCCTGAAACTCATACCGCACTTCAAACATGATGATGCGGGCGGTATCCACGACGAAGCTCTAGCATATTCGGAGTGGCGCTATGTGTGTTACATCCGCTATCTGCGCATCTATGGTGTTGCGCCCCATGATTATCCACCCCCTTGGTGAGTTCCCGTGTTCAGATTAAATTCGATGTGTTGACTGAGATTATTCGGTAGGGATGTTGCCATCATCTGGTACTGCCATCTCCTATCGCCAGGCAAATTCCACCGGTATCTTTGGGATGGAGGGTATCGCGACTACGGCTTAAACCATCATCACTTCCCAGTGAAGCGCCTACTAGAACTCTATAACTCTGGCACATGGTCCGACAAAAAGGCTCAGAAGAAATGGGGGTCGTATAACTTGAGAGATGACAGTCACAAGCTGCCTTTCCAACTGTGGCGGTATCCGCCATGGCAACCCGAACGAAAGTCGAAGCTACTGTCACGTTTTTCGAACAAGGAGCCGTGTATGCATATCAAAGCTGACCCGGCGATCAAGACACACGATGTTGATCAGCAAGCCTATTGTACCATTGTGGGGAAGAGAGAATGGACATTGTCCGAGTGGACGGATATGAGGATCGGGAAGAGGCAAGACGTCTGTCTCAAGAAGAACCTACACAGCCGGGACGGAGAATTGTGTCAGTTGGCACCCTGGCCCACTCTCGACGACCTGCGAGAGACCTTGAACAGTCAGATTGCATTTTGGAAGACGGTTATTGAAGCAAAAGAGAGCGGTGCTTCTTTTGTCACGGGTCTCGGCCGCTCAATTGGCGAGTACGAACAGTTCATCAAGTTGCTTGGAAGGCCTGCCGAAGGAACCTTTACCTCACGCCCAGTGGAATACGACATGGACACAATCTTTCGGCCCAAGTCAGGAACCCACCTGTTGAGAAGCCGCTGCATTGTACCCCCAACCCTAGCCATCGATCTTCTTTGGCATACACATCGGCTTTACCCAGGCTCTTACTGGGTGTGGAGCTTTAGCGTCGCCAGGAGGCTCATCGACTATGAGCATGTCACGTCGGCCGCTGCAGCACAACTATTTTTGCAAGACACGAGGAACGAATGGACGAAGAAGTACAGCAAAGACTGTCCCAGAGATCCTGTCATGGACAACTTGGGAGTAGACGGCTACGTCCCCGATGCGGCAGCTGTTCAACCTGGTCATCCTGCCAAAATTCAGGCAAAGTTCGTCCTCGGTGGCACTAATCCTATTAGGAGGAGAAAGAGACGCACAAAGGGCGAGTATTTCGTCTTCGACGGAGTCTATGTCTCTTTCGATAGTGGTGATTGCGGTGGAGGGGATGGTGGTGGTGGTGGCGGCGGCGGCGGCGGGGATGGAGGATGCGGCGGTGACGGTGGTGGTGGAGGAGGCGGAGGTGACGGTGGAGGAGGATAGCATTGATGAAATGGGATTTGCATATTCTGAGGCAGCTACTATTTGAGATGTGGCATTATCATTATTATGATGCAGTTCTAGCTGGTTCCAGGATGGGCGTTTTTAGTCTCAAGCCAGTGTATGTTTGCTGAAGAAGTCCATAATATATGAAGACGCATTGTAGGATGCCGGACCATCTCCGTGCTCCTTGTTGTCCGCATTCACCCCAGTGTAGGGCCAACTATGGTCAACATCATGCTCATAGACGTGGGTGACGAGGCCCTTCTTGTCACCTGTTCCCCAGCGATACATCTGTGCACGAGAGGTGATATTCTTCTCGCATGCCTTCTCGTCAAGTCCATCACGGAGGGCCCATTCGGTTACCCAGTGAAAGACGTCAGGCAAGCAAGCGCCGCGACGGCTAGGATTGCCTTCGTAGGGAATAGTTCCATCGATTCCACCGTGAAACTCAATGAGAGGTATGTTGGACCTTCCGGGGTTGCACGGAATATCGACGGTCTTGGGATTGCAACCCTCTGCACCCTCGATGTAGTAAGAGCCAGAGACGGGGGCAAAAGCAGCGAAGCGCGTTGAGAGTTCTTTGTGGCAGGCAGCATAGTTGACAAAGCCGCCCCCGTTGGATTTTCCAGTCATGAAGACGCGATTTGTATCGATGCAATAGGTTTTCTCGAGGTCGTCCAAGACGTTGCTGGTGTACTCAATGTCGTTTCTCTTGGTGATATTAGGAGTGCCTTCCCATCGTTCCTGAAATATCACGTCAGCCTCTTTCGTGAGCTTCTCCGACAAATGTTGCTTACCTCGTATCCGCGTAGATAGACGACGATGTGATCAGTATTGAAGTACGGCGTTTCCAGGCGATCAAGATCTCGCTGAGACTCTGGTGTTCTAGTTCCACCATGGTAGGAGAATATGATCGGGTTGTTGGACTTTGTAGAGTACTTCGGTGGCAAGAATAGGAGATAGTCTCGAGATCGGCCGTCTTTGTCGGTGTAAGGAATTGTGTACTCGTTCCCTGGTGCACGCCCCTTTGGTAGGGTCTTGGTGCATTCAGCAGATGCGGTCTCACCCCTTGTTGTTGTCGTCAAAGCTGCCACGACAGATGCCGACGTGCTGAGGGCCAGCGTCAGGATACGTGAAGAAACCATGATGAGGTCTGTCCTCAGAGATAAGGCGATGATAAGGAAGGCGGGAGAAGAAGCGTCTATCATAAACAAAAGACACTCAACTCAGAATAACCTACGATTCATCATGGGAACCTCTATGAAATATATACGCAATCGCGGATCATAACAGCCGGAGTAGGATCAGCGCTACCCGGGCCTAGTTGTCACTAAAGCCTTCTGGGTCTCACCATGTGCCGACAGAGATTACGAGAACATAGGGTGATCGTCGCCAGGTGTAAGCACGTTTCCCTAAAGGATCGCTAGGCACCTGCTTAACTCCCCTAGAAGACCCTCTCAAATTGGAGAAATATTCCTTTTCAGGGCACCTCGTCGCGCGTTTGTTGGGCTTATCCACCGGAGAAGACCTCAGCCCCCCGGGATTTGACCGCGAAGGATGCAGAAGAAACCTTATTATTCCCCGCCTGCACGCGACTCGGATCTCAAATCAATTGACGAGCTCGGGAATACGGCATACCTCCATAAAGCCACTGCTCTACGGTTGATGGACACCGCGTTTAATTACGCTCCTACCTACCGCATCTATGTAGTTCCGCATTGTCAGCGTGCTGAGCAGGTCGAGCGATGACGGAACAACTGCTACGTTCACCTCCGAAATCTTTCAGACTGGACATTCTGAAGTTGGTCTAATCTATAAAGGATGAAGGATGTCTTCGGATCTTGTCCCTTGAACAAGTCATTGTTCGTAGCCTATGGTGTCTGGTTCGTAGTGACCTCAAATGGCCCGCGCGCTTAGGCTCCATATATTCACAGTGATCACATCCCTCCGCCCGCGCAAGTCAAGGAATGGATGCCGCAAGAGAAGGAGAAGCAGTTGATCCCCAGGCAATCAACGCTTTCTTAAATTATAGTAATGTACTAAGAGATGTTCGAAGTGATTGTGGATTCGCTGCCACTAGGAATCATCCCAGCATACTCGGAAACATAGCGGGAACATAAACTTGATTCGGACGAATGGCCAGATGCCGGGTCACTTTTACCTCATTCAGCGTCTGTAGCTGTGAAAAAAAAAAAAAAACTCCGCTCCGCAACGCCAATTTAAGCCCAGAAATGCGCGGAGTTGAGCAATTGACAACGGTCGATCTTCAATTTTACTACGGGATGATGGACATATAAATATTCGGCGATGTTTAAGCTTTCCAGATTAATCAATCCAAACTTTACTCGAGCAGCCAACCTAGTACCAAATAGTTCTCAACTCGACGGCAGAGACCGATGCGACTGATGATGGGTGACACCATGAAAGCTTGGCAATATTCTGCCATCGACGGCAGGCTCGAGGATTCCCTTGTCCTCAACAAATCAGCGCCCATGCCGAGCTCCTCGACCTTAGGCAAAGATGAGCTCCTCGTCGAAGTCATCAGCGCATCGCTCAACCCAGCAGACTACAAAGTCCCCGAGTCAACTATCATCGGACGTCTCATGGTCGCACGACCCGCTACGCCTGCCATGGACTTCTGCGGCCGCGTTGAAGCCACACATCCGACAAATTCCAGCTTTCAAGTCGGACAAATTGTATTCGGTGGATATGCTGGTGTTGGCCAAAAAGGCACGTTGGCAGAGTACATTGTCATCTCAGGAGCTCACTGCGCACCCCTCCCGGATGGCATAGACCCTGATCAAGGCGCGGCGGTTGGCACGGCAGCGACAACAGCCTGGCAGTCTCTGATACCGGATACACTACAGCCTGGCGGCAAGGTGTTTATCAAAGGAGGGAGCGGCGGTACAGGCACGTGGGCTATTCAACTAGCGAAAGCCTTGGGTGTTGAGGTTGTCACGACGTGCTCCACCAAGAACATCAAGCTCTGCCGAGAGCTTGGCGCGGATGAAGTCATTGACTATAGGAAGGATGACATCGTATCAAAGTTGAAGGACCGAGGAAAGGTCTTTGATCTCGTCATTGACAACGTGGGCAACAGTCCCGAGCTGTATGACAGCAGCAGCGCTATCTTAAAGCCCGGTGGGACCTTTGTCATGGTAGGCGTTGGAGAAAGTCTCACACTTTCAGGATCGTTCTCGATGTTGAGTAAGATGGTTTGCCCAAAGATTATGGGTGGACAACAATTTTATTTCGTGCGGATGCAAAACAGTCCGGACTTCTTCCGACGAATTGGCGCGTTGATGGCAAAGGGAGACTCCAAGGCGGTGATTGATTCAACGTTTGGGTTCGATCAGGTCCCGGCCGCTTATAGACGACTACGGGATGGACATGCCAAGGGCAAAATAGTTGTTCAAGTTGCGAAGGTCAAGGGGAGCGGCAGTTCAGATTGATTAAGTCAAACCCCCCACTTCCCGGCACCCCCCTGTTTCTGGCACCCACAAAAACGCGAAAATCCACCACAACGCAATGCCCACCCCCAACCTCCTTTTATCACAACATTTTCAATTCGAGTCCAAATGGGCTCATTTTTTGCACATACCTTCTTCTATATCTAATGCCTCAATATACCGAAGATCAGCTTCGTCAGGCTCTCGAGGACATCTCAAACGGCAAGAGTCAAAAGAGAGCCTCATTGGAGTATGGGATACCACGATCAACCCTCCAACTACGTCTCCAAGGTGGTCAGACTAGGAAAGTGGCTTTGCTGACTGGCAGAGGCTGTCTCCTGACCAGGAGAGTAAGCTGGCACAATGGGTTCGCATTCAGGCTTCGCTGGGCCTCGCACCAACGCACCAACAGGTGAAGGAATTCGCAGAGCGAGTTCTGGCTGCTGCTGGGGATACCAAACCATTAGGAAAGGCTGGATCTATGCCTTCGTGAGAAGGAACCCTATCATTAAGGTTCAGAGAAGTCGTTCCATCGATTCTAGACGCGTTAATGGGGCATCTACTGAGGTCATTAGGAACTGGTTTAAGTTCCTTGCTATCCCTGAGATCAAGGACATCAAACCAGCCAACAGATATAATATGGATGAGACTGGCATCCTCGAGGGTCAGGAGCTAATGGGTTAGTGCTGGGCATGGCTGAGACGACGTCTGTTCGCAAGAAACAACCTGGGTCGAGGGCATGGGTCTCTATCATTGAGTGTATCTCAGCCTTGGGTAGGGCACTTCGTCCTCTTATCATTTTCAAGGGAAGACGGTCCAACAACAGTGGTTTCCATTACATCTGGTTCCATACGATGGGTGGGAGTTTACAGCAACAGATAATGGCTGGACTACAGACTTAACTGCCATTGAATGGTTAGAGAAGGTGTTTATCCCACAGACTATGCCCGAGGCTGAGGGCGAGGCTCGACTGTTGATTGTGGATGGGCATGGGAGTCATACGACGACAGACTTCATGTGGAATTGCTATATTAACAATATCCATTTACTGTTCTTACCACCACACTCCTCTCATGTCCTCCAGCCACTTGACCAGTCTGTCTTCAGCCCTGTTAAGTCAGCCTATCGGAAGGAGCTCGGTTACTTGTCTCAATGGAACGACTCTACCATTATAGGTAAAAGGAACTTCCTGGACTGTTACCAGAAGGCTCGACTTGCTGGTCTATCAGTCTCGAACATCAGAAGTGGTTGGAAGTGGACTGGTCTACACCCTGTAGCGATGGTTAAGCCCCTGATGAACCCTATGGTATTACCTGAGCCTTCTGCTAAGCCCACCACACCCAAACCAACCAGTCGGGGCAAAAGCGATGCCATAATGGTCAACAAACTACCCCTGTTGAGCCATGGGATTCTGCTTCCTCTGCAGTGGTCTGGTCGACACCCAGGAAGCTGGCAGAGCTCAGCGGTCAACTGCACTTATACACCCAACTCGACAATGATACCAGCACTCAACGGCTGCTGTTCAGGAAGGTGAAAAAAGGCTTCACAGAGCAGGCCTGGCAACTGGCAGCTGCCCAGCAGCAGCTGGCTCGGCTCACCTGAGGGCTCTGTTACCAACGCTGCAGTTAGGAAGAGGAAGACTGTTCAGATCGATCCCAACACGAAGTTTGCGAACATCAGGGATATCCATCGGGCTCAAATCGAAGCGGGTGAAAAGGAGGTTATTACGGCTGAATCCAGCGACTCTGAATGCCCTAGTGAGGCTGGCAGTTGTATTGTAGTGGGTGTGGTTGAGGATCAATAGTTAATAGTAATGAGGAGGTTGGGTTGTGATCCCATCGTTTTTGTGGGTGCCAGAAACAGGGGGGTGCCAGGAAGTGGGGGGTTTGACTTAATTGATTGAATACAGCCCAATGGATTTAATGTGGAGGCACAAGTGGTATTACTTCAGTCGCGGGGTATCAATATCCCCGCTCCATAGGATTGAAGATGGAATTGAGTTGAGCATGGATTTCCAGGCCATATTTGTTCGTTTTGTAGTTCAAAAAAGTTTTCTTAACTCAAATTTACCCCTCGGATCTTGAAATACAACTCGATTGTACTGAAGACATTCAAAATTTTCTGATCCATGAATGTCAGCCCTACTCGTCCCCTTTCTCCTTCGTCCTGGCCCATCTTCAAAAGCCCCTATTATTCGGGGCCAAGGTCATCCACTGCTACCCCGGGTGGTCGCATTAGACAAGGAAATTGACCTCCAAAGAATGGAGATGCCCGGTACTTCAATCACCGGCATTACGCATGTGAGTGCAAGCTTATGACTTCTAGAAGCATTCGAAATGGGCCAAACATGGAGTTCCCGTAATGCCTACCCAAGATAGCCAGTGCGAGCCACAGTTGAATCCGAGGACATCCGCGCAAAGTCCCACCTCAGCCCGACGTGCGTCGGTCGGTATCCGGGTCCGGGGTACGGTGAGTGACTCAGGCCGTCCGCGGAATGTCAGCATCCAATCACAACGCGCTCTGTCCGAGATCTTTCCAAAGTCCCAAATCCGACAGCAAGGAGCTAGAATTATAGACTAGTTGTCCCAAGGCTTACGTTACGACCTTGGCGAGTTGCTGAGCCTCGATTCTGGAGATCATAATCTTCCCAGAGGGGATGAGATTCTGGGTTTTCAGAGTCTCACTATCATGAAAGACTTATAAAAACCATCTTCGGTCGCCAATAGCCATAACAGGTATCATGTTCGACACCCTCAACAATTACATCAGCTC